AATCTTGAGAATATTTTTTTAAATAAATGAGTATTCTAAAAAAGTGAGTATTCCCTAATTTAAATGAGTGTGGGCAACAATTCACAAAACAATTCTTCAGGCATTAACAGACTATGAAAGCCCTGTGGTTAATATGTTTATGAAATACTAACTTCATGTTTTCTGGGAGAGAGAGAGTATGTATGTGTATGTATGTTTTGGAAAGTTGTTTTCTATAAACAACTTTTGGGAATAGTTTCCCTTATTATAAAAAGTAGTAAATGTATACTCTGTACAATATAAAAAACACGAAAGGGGTGAAAAAAATGTCATTTATAGAGAAACTCCACTAAAATATTGGTGTGTTTCTATCCTCTTTTCCCCATGTACTGATCATGGTATATATACTATTTTATATATTTTACTTTTTATAAACATCATAAAGTAAGCATGTTAGCAGTCAACTCAGAATTATTTCTAAAAACTACTTACTCATTGCATAATGTTATGCATAATGTTAAATTACCCACATTCTCATTGTGTATTTAACCAGTTTCCAAATTTTTACTATCTTTACCTATGGTCTTTTCCATATTTCAAATTATTTCCTTATGACAATTTTCTAAATGTTGATTTCCACACCAAAGTGAACAAATTTTCTTCAAGATTTTTGAGAAGTAAATACCAAATTACTTTCCACAGTATTGTACTAATGTAGTCTTCCAGCAATATTCAGAGTATACTTATAAACCTTATATGTTAACATTAAAAAGAAATCTTTACACACTTGTAAGTAAATGTGATTCTTTCTATTTTGTTATTCTCTTTTAACTCATTTAAGTTTTTAAATGCTAGTGTTAATTGCTGTTCATTCATTTTGCAGTTTCATTTGTCATGTATTCTGAATTTCCTGTGCCCTGATGGTTTTAGTGTTATGAAAGTATGAAAAAATAAAAGTATGGAATTACACTTAAATATAAGATTGATGTAGTACACTGGTCTTTAGAATATAGCTAAAATATAGATATTTTTGTTTATATACCATGTCAAAAATATTTTTTCGAATATTTTTGTGGACAAGTTGACTTACATTTTTCCGAAGAGCAAAGTAACACTAAGATATAGACAATTTTAAACAAAAAGTTAAAAAAATGCATGGTTTAAATATGGAAACAACCTCAGTACCCAAAAATAGATGAGTGGTTTAAGAAGATGTGGCATATATATATACAGTGGAATACTACACCGTGATAAAAAATTAACTCATGCCTTTTGCGGCAACATGAAATGTATATAGGATGTACTATATTAAGTGAAATAAACCAGAAGGAGAAAGATAAGTACCGGATAGAGTCACTTATATGTGGAATGTAGAGAAACCACCCAAAGAGCCAGACACAGCGAAACTCAAAAACTAATCTTTCATAGCAGACTGTAGAACTGAGATATTCGGAGAAGGGATAACATAAGTGGGAAGGGTACAAAATGGACTATTGTGGCGGATGAAATGATAGTTCAGTGGTGGGAGTATTATGTTAAACATCATGGGAAGGAGGATACTACCAAACTACAGTGTAAGCCAATGCTACCTCAATAAAGAAAAATTATTAAACAAAAAATTAAAATGACATAGAGATATCACTTTATATTATTATTAGAATGGCTATTATTGAGGATATGAAGAAACTTAAACTCATACTTTTCTGGTAGCAGCATAAAATGATATTGCTGCTGTGGAAATGTTAATAGTTGGTTAAACATTCATGTTGATTATACCCTATGGTAAATGTTTTTAATACCAGCAAACTGTATAACAATCAAAATTAATTTTTTGTTATGTGCAATTTATCACAAAAAAACCCCACTTAATATCAAGCAATTAGGCAAATTTGAGAAAAGGGTACTAGAATACATTTGTTTTTAATTGAAAAATAAATTGCATGGCTTATGTTGTGAGTTCTTGCAAATAGGCAATAGAGGTCAGATGGATACCTGATTGGCTTATTATCGAGTAACCAAGGGAATCTTCTAGGTTTCTTTGTGTCTGTGACTTATTGGGTAGTTGTTTTTTTTTTTTTTATTTAAATAGTTAAATCAGTAGAAGTAGTTTTTGTTGTATCTAGTAACAACGACTTTATTTGACATTTAGTTATAATTCTTTTGTTTTCTACAGATTGATGGGTTTTGTTTTGCTTTTTTAATTTAAAGCTCAGCAGTTTCAGTCTTGGGATTTTGAAGGCATGTTTTCTCTGTAAGCCTTAATTCATAAAGTGTAAGATTTTTGAAAACAAGCAAGGTCAAACAAACTCAAATTTTAGATTTAAAATTTTTTGTTAATTCAAAATTTCAAACAGTATTTCTGTAGATCTTGTAATTCTTTTTTTCTTTTTTTTTTTTAAAGATTTATTTATGCATACAGAACTGAGGTACAGGACAGAGGTGCAGGGGCAGTGAGAGTCTTCACCAGAGACAGAGTGGGGAGCATGGGATTGAACTCAGGCTTAAGTGGCTTTAGCTTCTTAGTGCTGTTCTTTTACCTGCTGCGCCACCAGGGAGGGCCCTATCTTGTAATTCTTAAAGCATGGTAGGACTCACAGTAAGAGGCAAGACTTAAAAATTAATGAAAATTAGCTTTTCTAGGGCTTTTTTAAATTGCTGCTAACATTTAAAATAGTGTCTAATTAAAGCTGGCATAAGAGTTGTTCACATGGACATAAGTGATAATGCGTTTTATTTTTAGTTTGGAAAACTAGTAACTTAAATCAACTTCAAATACTTCTTATAAATAGCCTATGTTTTTAGAAGAGATTCAGACACCTTTGGAATACAAATGAAAAAGTCCCTTTTTTTTTTTATTATATCCTCACTAATATTTGTTGTTGCTTTATTTTTTAAGATGCGCCATTCTTACCATCCACTTTATTATGTCAAACTTTCGGTGTCTTGTGTGGTTTAATAAGAAACACTTTGTGATTATGTGTTACTGAGAATTTGAATGAAAACTCCACTAGTGCGTACTTGAACTTGTTTCTTTAGCTGGTAGTAATAACCTTGCAAGCTAAAAGAGAAATTGAGCATTCACACAAAAAGTTATGCAAATGCACAGAGTATAATTCTGTATTCCATCCATTGTAGCCTCTCATTAGTTTAACCAATGATTCAGTAGGTCCTTGCTCTAGCTAACTCAATTAGTTATTGGAAAATTAAGTTGCTACTATAAACATTGATCAGAATTCCTTACTAAGTTATGCTCAGAGAGACCAAATATTCTAAGCTAATTTCTTAGTGATCTTTATAAGTAAAATGATCTCCGGGTTTATAATTTTAAAGTTCTTACCACTTATTTACCTACATAGTTTTATTTCTTGAATTCTACATTCAAAGTCCTGTTCCTAGGCTTGTGTACTGTCAACAGTAGAGAAGTTAAACTGAATCGGTTATATGGCAATGAGAGGGACACTGTTGGACCTGCAAACTTGCCCACTCTAAATAGATTCTGCTATCCACCACATCAAGAAAACATATAAGACCGTTAATGGAAAGGAACTTTAATACAACTAGTGTGCAATATAGAAAAGACATAGAATATAGTTTCTAAATCAAACACTCAAAGTTACCCATCCCCTGTGGGTTAAAGTTTACCCAAAAGGGATTGGACCAAAGCAAGACCTGAAAGCCCACCACAGATCTAGTGACCCAAGGGTCAGAAATGGCCAGACAAGTCTGGGAGGAAAAGAGCAAAAATCAAGATAAATACTGCCATAGTTAACCTCCCCACTGGTCTCTCACCCACATTTGTTTCAACTAGTCCAAGACCAAGAAACAAGAGCTGCTTCTTCACATGTCTTACCTCCCTCAGGTCTCCTTCTGGCTCTCCATCCCCCTTTCTTCCTCTTCAATTTCCTCTCCAAATTCTCTCCTCCCTGCTCAGCTCCACCCTCCTTTGGGTAGAGCAGGGAGCCTGGAATCTCCCCTTTTTCTATGGCCCACCCTATTACACTTATACTGTTATAAAACATAATATATACCTTAGCAGTTAGCTTAATCTTTAGATGCTTTCCCAGTAATTTAGTTATCATCCTTGACTACAGTCAGCCATATCGAATAAATATTGGCTTGAACTCCACCCTAGATAATTTATTCTAACTTGGAATTTCTCATTTGAAAAGTGGGAATAATGGTAGTTGATTCTTTGCTCATTTATCTTGATTACATGAGATAAATTGCTCCAAGTCAGTTATTGCTACTATTCATTCATGCTAAGCAAGGGACAGTTATAAAGGACCGTAATAATGTAACAAAAAGTGTACATTAAAATGAAGAATTAATTTGAATTTTAACATAGTTTAAGTTCTATATATAGATTTTGTCTATCTTTTCTTATTCTGTCCTTTCTTACTACTGATGATCTTTTAAATACAAGTCACAATGTTGATATACAGACCTAAATGGGACATGGACATAACCTTCACTGAAATTATAATTTAGTGGAAGTCTATATTGATTAGTTTTCAACATAACAGATACCCTAAGTTGTATATGTCCTTAGGAATGTAAATACAAAATAAATATTCATTTGGTGACATAATTTAATCAAAATTTATTTGGTGTCTTCAGAGAGACTAATATTTAATGGATATGTTCTTGAATGTTAGAAAACTCAGACACTGTTGGATAAACGTTGTTTGAATTAGATATTTCAGGAACGATTAAAGGTCAGAAACTCCTGTTTACTCTACCTTGTACTTTGCCCTTTTATGTGGGTAATAGCTTTAATTTAAAGATTAAACTTAAGTGCATCTGTGAACAGACCTGATACAAGTATAGCTATTGGATCTTCAGAGTTAAGTTATATAAACAGTAGATTGTCAATAATAAAACCATGAATTATGAAACTATCCATTTTGATGATTTAGTATATGAAAGTATATAGTAATAAAAATTCTTATAACAGGATGTTTACAAGCTTGCAAATATTTATGATTTTTTTTCTATTTTTCTTTTCCTTTCCTTCTCTCCAGAGCATCCACTACAACCAAGCCAGAGCCAGTTCCTGTTCAAAAGGTGTGTTTCTTATTGAACATCTTTATGGTAATCATTTATAGTCTGTTCCTGAGTTACTGTCATTTCCATTACACTCCCAAACTTAACACTGAGTTACAGTTTTCCTCCTAGTTTATTTTAGTTAAACATGGCAGGATGATAATCAGCAATGTAGTTAACCATCTTTAATTAAAACATGATTTCTGAAGCCATAAATTATCAATTTCCTATATCTACATTTCTTATTCACATCTTCTATGTGAATCTTTATTTACATACTCTATAGAAAATAGTCAAAAAATTGAATATCACAGTAAGTCCATACTAATATATTATGCCATGTCATTATTAATAAGTTTCCAGTTACATTTTCAGAGTATTCTTGAGTTATGTATTTGGCAAGTGCACGTTTTTTTTCATATAGTTCCTCACATTGTCCCAAGCTATTATTCATATAAACTGGTTTATGCTATGGGGATTTTCTCCCTAATTTTACTTTGTGCCATACCATTGAAACACTTAACTTTATTGATTTGCTGAGGTTTTAACCTATTTCTGCTCGCTCAGCCCCATTCATAATGTTATGGTTTCTATTAGGTTAATATAGGTTACTTTTTTTCCATAGGGTTCAACATAATAGAGCCAGTACTTTATGCTTTTCTTAAATTGTTTTTCTTCTGTAATGGTGAAGGTCGAAGGCATTTTATTCTTAAATGATAAAGAAGCCTAAATTATATTTTTTGCTTTGAACTTGTTTTGAAATAGAAGTTTACAAACATAATTTTTGGGGGCGAATTTAGTCTTCCTCTCCTCCTACTATTATTATTATTTTTAAAAGATTTATTTATTTATGCATACAGAGCTGGGGTACAGGCCAGAGGTGCAGGGGCATGAGAGGATTCACCAGAGACAGAGTGGGGAGCAGAACAGGCTGACTGATCAAGTACACTGCTGAGGGGAGCAGCAGGCGGGTCAGGAGAGGTCTGCCACATCATGTGGATCACCTCTGGAATGGGGATGGAACCCATGCTGAAGTGGCTTTAGCTTCTTAGTGCTGTGCTTTAACCGGCTGTACCACAACCAGGGAGGACCCTATTATTTTTTTTTTAAGATTTATTAATTTGTGCTTATAGAACTGGGATACAGGCCAGTGGTGTGGTGGATGAGAGGCTTCACTAGAGAGGGAGAGTGGGGAGCAGAACAGGCAGATCTACAGAAATACACTGCTGAGGCTAGCAGTGGGCAGGTCAGGAGAAGTCTGCCATGCTATTTGGGTCAGCTTCTTGGCCGGGGATTGAATTCATGCTGTAGTGGCTTAGGAGACTTTCATAATGTGGTGCTTTAACCCATAGCACCACCAGGGAGACCCCACTACTATTATTTTTTATGGCAACAAGGAAACACTTAAGGTTAATTATTTTTCCTCATGCAGTTATTAACTATTAAATAATTATTTTGGAAAATGACAAAATTATTGGAGAGTAATTAAATATGTTTGAGAGAGTTGTAATTTAGACTGGATTTTTTCAAATAAATGTTTTAAGTTTCAATGGTTTGTTTATTGTCGGACAAATTTAAATTTTTTCCTTTGGAATATATATAAACATTCATGATGGTCTTTAAGCTTTCTGATAGTTTTCCTTCTCAACATTCTAAATATTCTGAAATACCTTTCATTTTAATACAAATACATACATATATATAAATACATAATATGTACTTATATGTATCTGTGTTGTGCATGTTGGGTTCCTTTAGTATGCATGTTATGCTGTATCAACTCACTGTTTTTTCCTGGAAACATGTTATAAACAGGGCTGCTAACATGATGTTTGTCTTTTTTAAAAACACAGTTATGTACTCTTTCCACCAAATCTGTTTTGCATGCATTTGGTCTGTTTTGTATATGTTTATTTTTATTTTGCATAGGGAGAACCTAAAGAAGTAGTTACATCTGTGCCCATTCCATCTCCTGCTGTGTCCAAAGTCACTTCCACTACCAACATGACCTACAATAAGGCACCACGGCCCTTTGGTTCTGTGTCTTCACCAAAAGTCACATCCATCCCATCACCATCGTCTGCCTTCACCCCAGACCATGAGGTCACTTCATCACATGCTTCCCCTCCACCCATGGCTGCTGTCACTCCTCCCCAATTCACTGCATCTGGACTGCATGCTAATACCACTCTTAGTGCTGAGCAGCGTTCATCTGCACTGAGCTCTGGTAAAACTACAGTTAATGTCCCACGGCAGCCCACAGTCACCAGCGTGTGTTCCGAGACTGCTCAGGAGGTAGCAGAGGGACAGAGAAGAGGATCCCAGGGTGACAGTAAACAGCAAAATGGGTAGGTGGATAAGGGTGCTTTCTATTGCATATCAAAACTCTTCTTTCAGCAATTTCTAGAAAACTACATCCTACCAGAATTATCTGTTGTTTCAAGGAAGGGAGATGAAGTTTTATTTGCTTCATTAACATGTAACTTTATAGTATATACATAAAATGTTTTCTGCAAGAAAACTGTAAGTTAATCAAACCCAATTATGCATCTTAACATATTTTGAATCATATAACTTATTGAATTCTTTCTCCAAATTCTAGCAAAATATTGAGCAGCTGGCACTTGTAATGCAAGGGAACTTTTGAATCTTCCTCAAATTTGTAATGCTTTTATTGGCTATCAAAATATAAACCATTGGTTATTGTTGTATATATTACAGGGAGATAAAAAAGCTATTCAGCCAAGAGTTTGTGAGAGATTTCTTTTCTCTAAAACAATCCTTTTTATTTATTTATTGAGGGAGTCTTGAATAACTTTTATTCTACAGCAGTTTTATGTTAGGTGGTAGTTTTAAGACAGAAAACAAATCAGGTTTGATTTATGTCTGTTTCTTGGTGCATTAGTGTAAATCAGAGAGCTAACATTATTTCAGAAATGTTTAAGCTAAAATTTAACCTTTAAGAACACCCAGTTTTGTAGTTTGTAGTGACAGAACTGCAACTACAAACCTTTTGTAGTGACAGAACAGCAACATCAGTGATGTTTAAAAAGCATAAGAAGCAAATTAGAGTATATATTTATCATAAAGATTTTTCTAAAGTAGATTAGTTCAAAACAGTAGACATGAACTATGTAGTGTTACCAGGCTTTTCCTTTGGGGGACTGAAAAAAGTGCATGTTCTTTTTTAAATGGTTGAATTCTGTTTTCAGCAACTTCCCTTTATGGATGGTTCTTTTATTCTTTTTGGAATTCAGTACCATGTGTTAATAAGCCAAAGTCATTTTTCTGAAATCATTTTGATCAGATTTATTGTGACAAAAACATACTGTAAGAGAAATGAAGGGAAATAATCTTCATGTGTGATTTTTACCAATGCCAGTTCCCAGCAAAATATCATTAAAAACAATTATGTGAATGGCTACTTTTTGTGAGATAATTTCTTCCGAATGTTAATTCACGTAATGAAGGGGCAATGCTTTCTGTAGCACTGCTGTCATGGCAACACTGAGCTTTGGAAAGAAGGTGGCAGGTTTCCAGTCTGCTGCTGAGAGAAGAATCAGGAGACCGGAGCAACAGCTACTGGGCTGGACATAGATTTTGTGGTTATGGTTGGCTTTCTAAAGTTTTGATGTGTATTTGAGGAAAGCTTATGTCCATCAGAGAGTTATTTCTCCTTTTATGGGAGGAAAAGAAATAGCATGCAGTATTGGGGAGATTTTGGTTGTTCTTTTCAGTATTTCTATTTTAATATGCTAGATTTGATTTAAAGTATTCAAAGTACATATCCTTTGATTTAAAGTATTCAAAGTACATATCCTAAAGTATTCAAAGTACATATCCTTCAAATTCTAGCTCCACAGAAAGCTAAAAGCAGAAATTTACTTTTATTTAAGTTACTGAGTTTCAGGTACAGTAGAAAAGTCTATAAAGGAGCTATCTAAAGTAAAATTTCTTCTCCTTACTAACATTGCTTGATATTTTATAGGAAGTCTTAATGGAAAACCGTAGAAGTAAAAAGCAAATTGAGGTTATGGAAAAGCATAGTAGTGAAAATACCAAGCTTGAATTTTGTGTTTTATAAGTAGAGCTTTGGCTTTTAAACTTGAAATGACTTTAAAGCTTGTTATTTTCAAAGGAAACTCTAGGCAGTAGAGTAGATTTGGGGCCCTTATGCCTCCTTAATTGGTAGACAGTGATTCAAGAGCATGTTTCTGAAGTTCTGCACTGTGCAAGATTCAGGGGAAAAGTCATCATTACATATTTTGTATCATTAGCAAAAAGATGCTTTGCATTTGCAAATTGTGTTTTAAAAAACTGTTGAGATGTTAGGCTGGTGAAAGCTTAATTACTTTGAAGGTGAAGTTTATTAATGCTTTTTTGATATCAAGTGTCAAACTCTCTCGGAAATAACTGGCAAACCTTTTTACTAATTATATGTTTATTAAATTTTCCCATAGTTTTGTGTTACACAGGATCAGCAACGAAACTCCTTCCAGTATGAGTTTTTCATTTTTATTAAATTTTACTTTAAAAATACCTCCAAGTAATCAAAAATTTAAGAACTCAGAGGATATAATAAATTCATAAGTTTTCTTTTTTCCTCAAAACAGAGGGCTGCAAGTTTTTACGTGATTTTTATTAAATAGCTCTTTAGCCAATTTGATAGCCACCCCACATTGTATAGGATTATTAAATATTAGATACAAATAAAAACTTATTATTTAAGCTTTACTGAGAAATATTTATTCATCTCATCTAATAGTATAAAATCTCTATGTTGATATTTTTTTTTTAAAGATTTATTTATTTATTCATACAGAACTGGGGTACAGGCCAGAGATGCGGAGGGTGAGAGGATTCACCAGAGACAGAGCGGGAAGCAGAACAGGCAGATCGATGAAGGACACTGCTGAGGGGAGCAGCGGGTGGTCAGGAGAGGTCTGCCACGCCATGTGGTCACCTCCGGGGCAGGCGGGGATCGAACTCATGCGGAAGTGGCTTTAGTTTCTCAGTGCAGTGCTTTAACCCGCTGCGCCACCAGGGAGGGCCTATGTTGATATTTTAAGAATATTTATTAATAATATTATGTAAACATTCCTGTTCCTTTTATAGATAATAACAGGGCACTTTTTGAAGTGGTAAACTTCTACATATACAAATTTATCTTTTTTGGCTTGCTGTATTTATTAATACTTTCATTAATCTACTTAAATCAAAATTATAAACTGGAAGGAAAGGAATCTGTTTTGCATCAGGTATTTTAAGTGTTTACCTTTCCCTTTCCTGTGCTCTTGCATTATAATGTGCCACTGCTTTCAAGGTAAGTATTTCATGTATCCTATATTAATTTCAGTGTTGCTGGATTGCAGTTTATTCTAACAGTTCCTTTGTAGTATGTTGAAGAACCTGGCTTAGAAGATACAAATTGTATTTATATATTAGTAATATATTAAAATACTTTTATTTTTGCAGAAAAAACAAGTGACAAAGTTAGTATCCACATTACTGGAGAGGAAATATGGTGATTTATATATGAAAAACAGCATGAATGCCCGTTTTTTTTTTTTGCAAAATAGTTTAATTTTGCAAAGTTGCTGTAATTTAAAATAACCACATTTAGTGTCTTCAATAAGTTTGATTTGCACTGCTGTGTTGTGGTGAGTTGCTCTGCTATGGTAATAAATAGTAGTGCTTAACATTTGTCAAAATATATGTGGGGTTTGCTGTGTCATGGTTTAAAATAGGTAATGCTTGGAGAAGTATAATTTGTTAGTTGAGTATATTAGACAACCAAGATAAAGAACAAAAAGGATAGTTTGTGTACCACTAGTAAATAACATGTAAAATTGGGTTGATTTCCAAATTCATATAAAAAACCAGTATTTATGAGGTTAATTCTGTAAGGTTGTTTTGATTTTTTTTTTAAACAATATTGCTGGAAGATATAGATCTAAGTTCAGTTCCATGCCCCTGGTTGATAGTCTATACACCTTTGAAATAAATTTAAGAAAGTAATTACCAGTTCATTAAATGTCACAGGTAGTTGGCATAGATAGGGAATCACTTTTGTGTCCTTTGTCTAGATAGTATTGGCTGGTGATTACCTACTTTAAAATAGATAAAAATCATGTTAGGTTACAACTTTTATAATTTGCCTTACATCATAATACACTGTAAAATTGGAAATATAGAAATATCTGATTTGAAAACACCCAATTATCTATAGATTTAGTAGAGATTAAATGATTATTCAGTTATTCCATTGTAAATGATCTCCTTAATTGGAGAGTTTTATCTTACATATATATAGGATTATTGTACATCAATGTACTACTGAAATATCTTCAAACCCCTAGTTCATTGTCTATTTTAAACTGAATTATTACACACAAATTCTTTGACGAGTTACAAGATTCCAGTATAACATTTAATAAGGGGCAAAGGTGGACTTGTAAAAATAAATTTGTGTTTAACTTAATTGAATTCAAGATTCAGATTCATTAATGGCTATTTGTTACTGTACATTGTTCTAGGTGTTTTAAAATGCATTATTTGATTTAATTTCACTTAGACTTTGTTGAGAAGTAATTTTCTTAACACAAGCACTTTGTCAGTAGTAGAATAAAAGTTGAGTTCAGTATAATTTTTTTAAAGCTAAATTTTGCTGTACCTTCTTTTATATCACCTACTTTGACCTAAGTTTATTTTTGTTACTTTGACTTAGTATTTTTTTCAATGATTGTGGACTTAAGGACATGCAGAGGGAAATTAGACTTTGTTGAGAAGTAATTTTCTCAAGCCAAGCATTTTGTCAGTAGTAGAATAAAAGTTGAGTTGACTGTAATTTTTTTAAAGCTAAATTTTGCTCTACCTTCATTTATATCACCTATTTTGACCTAGATTTATTTTTGTTACTTGGACTTAGTATTTTTTTCCGTGATTGTGGACTTGAGGACATGTAGAGGGAAATAAGGCAATACTTATGAATAATGTGCATACACTGTAATTGTATTGGATGGTACTTTTTTATTTTGATCTCTTTGTATTTCTGTCCCAAAATCCAGTATTTATATAGTTTTTATGTATCTTTAGAAGTAATAAAAAGACAGAAATTTCACTGATGAGGAAATTTAGGCTTTTGTAGATTGCAACTTGAATAAACAGGAGGAATTAAGTACATAGCCAAAAAAGAAGCCAACCCACCTGACTGTCATTTGAAGTAAATGACACTTCAGTGTCTAATCAACGTTCCATTTTGATCATATGTTCTATATATGTGAAAGCTTTTTAAACATATTCAAACTGACATTTTTCGTTTGAAACTAGTCAACTATCCACTTGCTGCTCTTCATCATATCATAGCACATTTAACATCCCTCCAACTTCCTTTTCAGATAAAACTTTTTCATAAACTTTAAATGTTTTAAGTATATACTTAACATTTGTTTTGGAAACGGATTTCCCATTACTTGTTGTAGCAAGGCAGAGGATAAAATGTTTTATAATGTAACTAGGGAAGAATAAATACATTTAATTTACTGAAATCAACTCACCGCTGCATTCCACCACCATCAGTGCCTGAGTTTAGAAAATTAACTTTCATGTGTGAAAATGTAGCTACACTCAGCAGTGTTAGTATTAAAACTGGTAGGTGGTTTTCCTAAGTATTATAGTGAATTATTATTAGTTCCTCTTAGTTACATTGCAGAAGGATCGATTTAACAGTGTATTGAAAATGTGGAATTTGTACTTTGGTTCTCTCTAATCATAATGGGATATTAATATATTTTTAATGATTTTACATTTAAAAGGCCCTGTGAACGAATTATGTGTAATGGTGTTCTCTCTTTCAGTGTTTTTAACCTAGTTTCTTTACTGTTTATTGTCAGACATGCCTTTCTAGACAATAATTAGGTCACTGATAATACAGAACTCTCAAGTTCCCACAAATCATCTGTACACCTGTTGGATTTGCTTGGGAATGTTGGTATTTATTGATAATGACAGAGGAGAGTATGAAAATTGAGTGATAACCCATTTTGTATGACTCACTGATTCATTTATTTTTCTATCACAACTATTATATTTTTAAAAATAAGAAAATGTTCAAATAACTTATAATTTCTTTATAATATATAATTGAGAATAATATATAAGAGATTATACTTGTTATTAACATGTACTGCCTATTTGAGAATGAGTGACTTTTTAAATCTCTAATTTTAAAAATGATTTTGAACCGTTTGTTTCTGCATTTGCAAATGATTTTTAAACCTTTTTTTTTTCTGATCTTACATGAAACAATTATTTCATGCCATTCGTTAGCAATGTAAGAATTCAGATTTATGCTTAAATGAATTATGAAAGCATAGATTTTTTTTCAATAGTAACTCTCTTGGTTTTATTAACTGAATACTTGAACTAACATTAGTATATAGAATGTTCTTTAGTGGTTTTGGAAACAAATTCATTAGAACTGTTGTCCAGATATAATAGTAATACAGAATTTTTATTAACCTTTGTTCAATTTTGTGTGCTTACATCATCATTTTGAAGCATGATATTTGTATAACATTTTCATACAAATTTGTTGTTTTGAATTTTGTTATTTCATTCTTTCATTTTGTGGTTTTTTTTTTTTTATTGGTCTTGTCTTTGTCTATTTTCCATCATCCTGGAAACATCAATATCTTCTCTGTCACCTGTTTTTTGTGTGTCTTATTCTTTCATCAGTAACCCTGGCAGCATGTAAGTATCTAATTAGTGGTTCCTTTTGTAATTTTCGTAACTCTCTTGTCTGTAACTTTTCATCTGTTCTCAACTTAACACCACCAGTAAATTTGGCTTCTTCTCATTGCAATAATTTTCAAATAGATTATAGAGCATAGGAAACATGTTTTTCACGGTAGAGAGCTTTATGTGAATCAGTGGGTATGTTTTTGAACACCCACACTTCTACAGTAGAAAAACTTAGCCTACTGGTCTTCAGAGAGAACAGTAATTTTTTTTACATTATTTTAATTAATATAATAGTTTATTTTTACATCCTGCCTTGTCCAACTCAGTTGTAATCCTCATGGGGTTCCTATCACCAAATCGCCCGTGTGCCATTACCATAGTCCAGTGTACTTCTCCTTCCCCCTCAATACCACCCCCTCCCATTTTTTATCCCATCCCCACTCCACCCTTGTAAAATGTCTCTGGTATATAGTTCTTCATTGTTATTATTTTCTCCCCTGAGAACAGTAATTACTATGTACAGAATATACAGTGAAATTTAAGATGTCCTTCCTTCCTTAGTATTTTTTTATTTTAATGAATTTGCTGATTTTCAGTATCACTATTTTGAGATAAATTGTTTGTTCTCGCTAGTTGTTTAAATTCCACCCCAACTATATATTTTTCATAGTTGCAGAATTTTTTTCTTAATAATAGTTTATTTTTACATAATTTTGTGCCTTTTTCCATCTCGGTTGTAATCCCCATGGGCTTCCCATCACCAAATCACCTGTGTGCTATCACCATAGTCCAGTGCCCTTCCCCTCCTACGCGCCCCCCCCCCACCGCATTTTTGGTTCCACTCCCCACTCCACCCCCATAAAATGTCTCTGGTATATAGTTGTTCATTATTATTTTTTTTCTCCACCTGGTCCTTTATGCTCCTCTATGAGTGAAACCATCTGGCATTTTTCTTTTTCTTTCTGCCTTATTTCACTTAGTATGGTCCCTTCCAGTTCCATCCATATTGCTGCAAAAGGCATGAGTTTATCTTTTTTGATTGCTGAGTAAGATTTAATTGTGGATATGTACCACAGCTTTTTTTTTTAAAGATTTAATTATTTATGCACACAGAACTGGAGTACAAGCAAGAGGTGCAGGAGTGCACCTCTGGATTCACCAGAGACAGAGTGGTTTTACACCTGAAATTAGCACTATTTAAGAGTATGCTACACTCACTGACTAAACAGACATTAAAACCTGAGTTCTAATAAGATTGACTTCTCCAAAATCTAAAAAGACAGTACCAAGAGTTACAGCTTGATCTTTTGAAATTGTAATATTTAATTATTTAAATAGTCTCTGATAACACCATCACTATTATATGGATCCTGAACACAAATTAAGAATGATGGGTATTTGTACACACAAGTGAGAAAACTTTTAAAAAATAGCTTTATTATCCTTTTCAGAATTGTGTTTGAAATTTCTAGTTTAGGTTTCGGTAAACCATCCTGAATTCTTGGTCCTTGTGAGGTGGTTAATTTAATTTTGTGAAGACCACTACATTTTAGCAACGTATCACCGTGATTATAGTTAGCTTTGAGATGAACAGTACAAGTAATTACAGTTTGTTTTATTGTAACTGTTGGGATTTTTCAAACTTTTAGCTATCTTTTTTCTTTTCTTACTGTTTTCTTTTCCTTTTCTTCATGTTGGAAATCTTTCTGCTGCTGCCTTCTTCTGTTAATTAAAAGGAAAATCCCACCTAAACGGTAATCTTTCTATTGAATACTTACTATTAATTTGTTTTAGCATAATTTGTTTTTCTAAAAACTTTTTTTAGAGCCTCCTCTGCTATGTTTTTGAAGGATGCTTTAAAAAAAATACTGAGGCTTAGGATACATGGATATTTTCTTCTTAACATAATTTAAAAATATTTGTCTCTCTTTTCTTTTAATCCTAGGCCACCAAGAAAGCACATTGTGGAACGGAATACAGAGTTTTACCACATACCTACTCACAGTGATGCCAGCAAGAAGAGACTGATCGAGGATACTGAGGATTGGCGTCCAAGGACTGGAACAACTCAATCTCGCTCGTTTCGAATCCTTGCCCAGATCACTGGGACCGAACATTGTAAGTGAATACTGGATATTCTAAGAAATGAATGTTCCCTGACACGGAATAGAATTAAAATTTACTGGAAGGCAGTCATTTACCTGAGATAGCTGACTTATGTATTATGCCATGCATAATATGGGAATGTAAATAAAATACCAGCCCAGGAAAGTTTTAATAAAATATGTAAAGTAGGAGGACAATCTAGAGTATTTAGTAAATGAGAGCATGATGTGAAACTCTTTTTAGTAGTTCATTGCAACTTGATCATTTGATATTGGTAGGTATAAGTAATTGCTTAGGCGATTTTAAAGTTAAAAGACAAATTAATATTGGATATTGCTTATATATTTCAGTGAAAGAATCAGAAACTGATAATACAAAGAAGGCAAAGTAAGTATCTCCACTCTTTTTGTAAATTGAATGCTTTCCTTTCATGAATGGTCTCAGTTTGGTTTTTCATATTTTTAAGTATAATGGTATGATATTTTGTGTTTGCAACTAGAAGCCAAGCATTTAACTTGGGTTCCTTTTGCGGAGCTTACGTGTATGACTTTAAAATTTTTAAGTTAGTGAGTAGTGTCTAGGTTTTATGTCTAAGGCTTGTTTTCCTTAGTATTCAAATAAACTGGCAGGTCTGTTTAACACGTTGCTTTGCTAACACTGATCTTTGTGAATGAATTCGTGTGTTGTCTTGTCACTTTATTTGGCGCATAAAAATTGGTGTTTACATGAGAACTCCATACATTAATTTTGGTAGTTCTAAAAATCTTCTACTCTCAAAGTCATAGCTATTAAATAAAAGTCATGTGAATTAAAGCTTTTTATAAGGCATGTTTTCTGCATGGTGAATTAATCGTAAAATCTTTCTCTTTCTTATAACTCTTCTATCACTTTTTCTTTCCTTTCCTTTTCTTTTTTTATTTCCACAGGGAAAAGATACCCCTTCACGTCTTTAGTCCCAAATACACACAATTACGTGACTGGCATCATGAAGTTTCAGCACGTGCTCTTAATGTACAGTGATTTATGAGCCTTGCCCTCTCCCCACTCCCCAGCAGCCAGCACATATCTTTTCATTCTCTTTTCTTTTTTCCCACTTCATAGCAAAATCTGTATTAAAATTATATTATGAAAAAAAAATTGAACCCTTTCTATACTTTTCTAATAATTTCTGGCTGTTGTGAAAATGAGGAAAATGAATATATTTTGTATTAGTAACTCACAAATGTTAAACTAAGAAAAAAAATTAAGGGATTAGATCTTTTCAATGGATTTATGTGTGTTTCCGTTGTTCTTACAGTAGTAACTTTGGAAAAGTAACTTTGGTCACTTGAAGCAGAGGTAGATGAGCGAATCTAGAAATTATTTCATTTATATTATTACAGCTCTAAAATTACTTTTAAGGGTTAATTTTTATGTAATTTTCAAAATAGCTTGAAAATTATTTGAAATAAGCAAATATGAGGAAGCAAGTTAAAACAGAGAAGGTTTAATTAGTTGATTATATGTTTTGGTATCTTTTAAGGCAAGTACTATTCATGATAGCTATACAACAGAAGGAGACCAAATTTGGTTCCTAAAAGAGGAAGGAAATAATTCTACCCCTATTTGCTATAGGGAAAAACAGTGTTTTGGGGTGTTTGGTTAATTTAAAAAATATTGTTTTGTACCAAAAGAAGTATTTCTAAAGTAGATGTTTTTAGGGTGTAGAAAACTATTAGTCATTAATTAGTGAAATATAGAAATAATCTCTTTGCTGTGATTTTAAAACAGGAAATGAACAAAGTAATTGCAATACTAATGATTGTTTATGTGACATATATTTTACATAGTGATATGAATTGTTCTGCACTGCTGCTATTCGTAGGAAGCTGTCTAAAATTATGCAGCTAAATCTCAGACCAGAAGGCTTTCTGTCTTGTAATATAATGTACTATATATTAGATATAATTCAATGATAATTGCAATTTGAAGTTTGGAAACGTGTTGTAATAAAGTTGCCTGTAACTTAGTTTTGTACTTGTTTTCTGTTTTCTTAAAGCTAGTAATAATGCCATAGACTTGTAGCATCACATAGGTAAAGTGACATTTCATTAGGACATTTGGCTTCATGAGATTGCTAAAATGTGAGTAAAATATAATCAAGGTCTATGTTCAGTTTTCCTCCTTTATTTGTTATTTTACTTAACATCTTTCCTTAAATAGTAATATAGCCTCTGGCACAACATAGAATCATAGTGTTAATGTTTGAAAATGATTATGAATCTTACCTTCCTTTAAGGTTAAATTTTAATTTTCCCAGGTTTTCTTCATTTTGTCATTACATTTTAGAACTACTGCTTTATAATATAGGGGAAGCTAACAGTAACTAGTTACTATTTGAAATTTGGCACATATCAGCATTTTAAAAATAGTTCTGAGATTTCTTTTTGCTTATTTCTGTTATACTCCGTAATATAAGTTGTCTTTCTTTTATTGTATCAGTTGTTTTACCTACTTGTGATTTTATGATCCTGTTATCTATCCATTATTACTGTTTCAGTGGCCTCTATAAGAAAACCTACTTTTTACACCAGGCTTTCCTATAACAACTAATTATTCATTAGTGTCCAAAGATTATGTTTGAATGAAGATATAATAAAATTCTCATTATTATAAATATGTGGACAGAGTAAACATGGTGTTTTCCACCAAGAACTATATTTCTAAAGTAACTAGAGAGATATGAGAGAAAGAATATTTGGTAAATCAAAGACTTCCTCCCTAATAAAGAAGAGAGATAGAACTTTGTAACTTGAAGTAGGTTCAGAAAAAAAGAATAACTGGCCTAGTTAAAAACAAATCACGTAATGTTTCACTGAATATGCAGACATCAATAAATGGAATGATCCGTATTTTAGAGTGAGGGTAAATTTCAGCCAGTATCACAAAGGACATTCCATATAACTCTGTCAGAGGTTGAATTCTTGCACTCAGTGTATCTCCTGAGATATTTTTTATTCCTAGCTTAAAAGCTAGCCAAAAATTGTAAAAGTTTCTTGCAAAAATGTTATTCTAAGTCTAGTGATCTAATTTATGACTTGTTTTTGTTTGTCTCTCTTGTATAGGCTTTGTTATTATAAAGTCTTTTAACATAAAAATTGAAAAGTTATTCTTAAGAATTTTCAACATTGTTAAAATGTTTTACCAACCAGAATATATAATAACTAGTCTCACATTCAGTCGATATTTTTGTTACTTTGAAAATATATTATTTGTGGAAATAGAGATACACTCCTTTTGTACTTCATTATGCCCTTTAGGATGACTCAGATTAAAAATTTAGAGAGCTTTTTAATGAAAAATATGAAATTGAAAGCTTCAGTAGCAGTGTCTTCTTTTATTCACATTATTCAGAAATATAGAATGAGTGATTTCTCCTAAACAATTTCACTATTGTGTTTCTGATGTGTATTTAAAGTCACATGAATCATAAACATTGCTTGCATTCATTCTTTCACTTACTACATCCATTCCTTTATGTGAATAATTCTTAAACATTAAAATGCCAGCCATTGACCTGTGCTCTAAACTAAGTAGCAAATAACAAATAAATATATAGACAAGATGAAATGTCACAATTATGTTACCAAGACAATAAAATAAGTTTATGTAAAGGAAATTTCTTTTAGGAAGGAAAGTTGTTGATTGTGTGGATATCTGTGAGAGGATGTCATAGTATACTCTTTCTCTCAAGTTATCTTATGGGGTTATGTCTTCATGTGATGACTTGAGGTCTGTGTTCAAGGCAAAAGGAATGATTGTGGAAATCCTGGGGTGGAAAGATGATAGAAAGTACATGGAACAGAAGGGATAGTGTGATCAAATGGGCTAGCCAAGAGGAAACAATATAATTTACTGAATGCTAGCTATAGAATTTTAATAGGAAGTTTTTAATTATACTGTCTTAACTACTTTGAAGTAAAAGTAGAAAATGAAGGAACAGAAAGTTTAATCACCTTGCTAAATTTAAGTACACTCATCCCATTTGTGCCATCCTGTACATAGTCATCAATTTAAAGTATTTCCCATGAAAGACCATTGATGAATGACCTAGGAAAAGGAGACATGTCATTTTTCTTGGCAGCATCTATGTAGGTGGCAGAATGCCCTACAAAGTATTCAGAAAGCCATCCAACACAAAAGTTCCATATAGAGAACTTTGACATATAGTCCTCTGTTCACAATTTAATCTAAAAACCTTTCTAGAATTATTTGGATTCATTCCTTTTGTTTATCTCATGCTAGAAAACTCTATAAGCCAAGTAAATATTTTCTCACTTATTCATTCCAAAGTAGACCTCAGCACATTTTGTGGTTAGAATACTAAAAAACTTGGAATGATAAATTCTGGGTTTCAGATTCCAATTTGTAACTCATAGACTATTTTCTGCCCCTGAGTTTCCACTTTAGAATATGAAGTTAGAATCAGTGGTGGACACTATGTTGCCTGCCCATATGCTACTTCAATGCAGGACGTAACCCCAATGTGGTTCCTGTGTGTGTGAGAGCAGGCAACCTACAGTGGTCTTCCTATCACTGTCTTCTCAATTCAGACACACCCTTTCTGTGACCACAGCTTTCACAGCCCTGACTACATATAGTGAATGAGTTGACTAGAGGGAGAAGAGGTGAAAAGCTTTTCAGCCCAGGTAGTGACAACTTGAAGGGTCACTCTGGCTCTAGACATCCTGTAGGGTCAGCTGAGATTGTCAGTAAGTCCTGTATGGCAGTTGAACTTCTGCCTGCTCTTGCTTCCTGTTACCTCCTTTTCACCGATATTAATTGTAGAGACGCTTATAAAGCATCCTTCTTTCTAAATTCTCTTGAAGTCTGCTTTCCTGAAAATCTAGTCCTCCACGGAGTCATTCTTGTTTAGATCCCAATTTAACTTTCTGCTTCTCAGGTTCTCTTTACCATGGTTCTCTTAGCATTCTCTCTGTTTTTGTCACTTCTCACTCTGATCGCCTTAAATCTTCAACTCATATTACAATACCATTTAGGGAATACTCAAAATGAAAGACCCGGTAAGTGCTGCCTAAAAGGTATATGAAAGTAAAAGGTGTATAGAAAAAAATACATTTATTTTTTACCTTAAGTAAAGGGTATTTTTTTGTTGGTTGTATGGGGGTACTCTGGCATGATAAGTAGGTGAAAGAGTTTAATTGTCAAATATAGTCAAGGCTGTATGAACCAATGAGATGAAGAACTTCAAAATAGAAAATTATAATTTGCTCTGGACAGATACAGTCATTGCTTGTAACTGGTTGGAACACTTAATAACATTTTATTATAATTTCATGTTACAATTTTTCATAGGTAGCATTTTAGAACCAAGTTTATTAGCCATT